ATTGTACTACCGAACATCGAAGCCGCAGAACGAAGGAAACGTTCATTTACGTTGCGGTTATCGTTGCGGTCACCCGGCGGGTCATTAAAATTGGCTGCAGTCATTAAGCAGCCTATCCTTTTCCATAACCGAATGGTAATTGAATATCTTTACCACTCCCTGCTAGGAAGAAGGAAGATCGATGTTCCAGTGGTGTTTCGGCCACCTTACACCCCCCTCTCCCTGTGAAAAGTTTTTCAACGAATCAGAACTCTCTCCTTCTTCACGCGTCAATCTGCCGAGATTAATTATGATTTTCGTGAAAAGGGGGAGGTGACAACGACACGAGGAGGGGAGAAATTATTCCGCCACTTAACGCGCGCCCCCTGTCTCCACTCGAGTCACGGATCGACAGGGAAAGAATAACGAGCCACCCTCGCTCGAGATAGTTCGGGTCGGGTGAAGAGGATCGGCATCAATTTCAAATTGGGAAGTTAGGGAGGATCGGGTGTAGCTTCGCCTCTGTGGGATTTATGAGTTTTAGGGGATAAGAAGAGAGAGTGAGTGAGAGAGAGAGAGAGAGAGAGAAAAGGCGAAAGTAATTTTTCTTCCGTTTCTTTTTTTTTTTTTTTTTAGTATTCTTTTCACATTCAAATCATTTCAATCATATTTTAAAATGAAATAAATATCAGTAGATTCTTAAGATATTTTGATTCCTTCCTTAATTTAAGACAAAATTAAAATTGCATTATACTATATTGAAATCGAATTTTTTGTGATTAGACATTTTTTTCCTTTTAGAGAGAAAAGGCGAAAGTAATTTTTCTTCCGTTTTTTTTTTTAGTATTCTTTTCAGATTCAAATCATTTCAATCATATTTTAAAATGAAATAGATAACAGTAGATTCTTAGATATTTTAATTCCTTCCTTAATTTAAGACAAAATTAGAATTGCATTATATTGAAATCGAATTTTTGTGACTATAGAGATATTTTTTTCCTTTTAGTATTCTGTATACTACTCAATTATCAATTATACAAATTTTTAATTTCCAATCGAGCCTTAATAACTAAATATAAATATAAACTATATATAAATTATATAAATTTCTCTTAAAATCCAATATATGATTAAGATAGTGTGCAAACGCGAAAGCATCCGGATTCGACTTTATCCATCGTTTGTTTCCAGGTGCCCTCTCGCAATCCCAATTCCCGGTGTTCACGATTTACGCCCAGAAGAGCTGCCTGGCTGTGAAACCGTGCGAACGCGCCTGGTGCATCGACAGGGTCCAGGGGCATCGTCTTCAGGGCCACACACGTAGAACCATGAACGCCTCCTCGCGACAACACTGTCTCGAGCTCTGTTTAGGCGAGAGAGACTTCCTATGCCGGTGAGTATGGGAGCTATTTTTCCGTTTGCCGCGTCGCG